ATTGCTCCCTCTCAGACCCTGTGAAAACCCTCAGGCGTGATTCCGGCTACGGCAATGTCGCCCACTCAGGTCCTGTGAAGACCCTCAGGCGGGATTCTGGCTCCGGCAATGGCGCCCCATCAGAGTCTCTGAAGACTCTCAGGCGGGATTAGGGCTCCGGCATTGCGCCCCCTCAGACCCTGTGAAGACTCTCAGGCGGGTTCTGGCACCAGCTGTCGCGCCCACTCAGACCCTGTGAAGACTCTCAGGCGGGCTTCTGGCTCCGGCAATGGCGCCCACTCAGACCCTGTGAAGACCCTCAGGCGGTTCCGGCACTAGCCGTCGCGCCCCCTCAGGTCCTGTGAAGACCCTCAGGCAGGATTCCGGTTCCGGCAATGGCGCCCCCTCAGACCCTGTGAAGACTCTCAGGCGCGGTTCCGGCTCCAGCTGTTGTGCCCACTCAGACCCTGTGAAGACCCTCAGGCAGGATTCCGGCTCCAGCAGTGGCGCCCCCTCAGACCCTCTGAAGACTCTCAGGCGGGATTCCGGCTACGGCATTGCGCCCCCTCAGACCCTGTGAAAACCCTCAGGCGGGATTCTGGCTCCGGCAGTGGCGCCCCCTCAGGTCCTGTGAAGACCCTCAGGAGGGATTCCGGCTCCGGCAGTGGCGCCCCCTCAGACCCTGTGAAGACCCTCAGGCGGGCTTCCGGCTCCGGCAATGTCGCCCACTCAGGTCCTGTGAAGACCCTCAGGCGGGATTCTGGCTCCGGCAATGGCGCCCCCTCAGACCTCTGAGACTCTCAGCGGGTCCGGCTCCGCTTGCGCCCCCACCCTGAACCCTCAGGCAGGATTCCGGCTCCCGCAATGGCGCCCCCTCAGACCCTGTGAAGACTCTCAGGCGGGTTCCGGCACCAGCTGTCGCGCCCACTCAGACCCTGTGAAGACCCTCAGGCGGTTCCGGCTCCAGCAGTGGCGCCCCCTCAGACCCTGTGATGACTCTCAGGCGGGATTCCGGCTCCGGCAGTGGCGCCCCCTCTGGTCCTGTGAAAACCCTCAGGCCGGATTCCGGCTCCAGCAGTGGCGCCCCCTCAGGTCCTGTGAAGACCCTCAGGCGGGCAGACCCTCTGAAGACTCTCAGGCGGGATTCCGGCTCCGGCATTGCGCCCCCTCAGACCCTGTGAAGACCCTCAGGCGGGCTTCCAGCTCCGGCAGTGGCGCCCCCTCAGGTCCTGTGAAGACCCTCAGGCGGGGTTCTGGCTCCGGCAGTGGCGCCCACTCAGACCCTGTGAAGACCCTCAGGCCGGGTTCCCGCTCCAGCAATCGCGCCCACTTGGCTGTGTCAGTGACCCGTGGCTTCGTGGCTGTCTGGGGAGCTAGCGCTTTCACACTTAAATAGCATATTTCTATAAATAGTTATACATTTTGTTTGTTTTGAGACAGGGTCTCGCTCGGTTGCCTAGGCTGTAATGCAGTGGTGTGATCACGGCAACCTCGATCTCCTGGGCTCAAGTGATCCTCCTGCCTCAGCCTCCCAAGTAGCTGAGACTACAGGCACCTGCTACGGTGCCAGCTAATTTTTTTTTTTTTTTTGAGGAGGAGTCTCACTCCATCACCAAGACTGGAATGCAGTGGCGCAGTCTCGGCTCACTGCAACCTCCGCCTCCCAGGCTCAAGGGATCCTCCCCACTCAGCCTCCCAAGTAGCACAGGCACTGAGACCACAGGCACTCAACCAGCACACCTGACTAATTTAGTAATTCTTTTCTTTTTTTTTTTTTTTTTGAGACAGAGTCTCTCTCTGTTGCCCAGACTGGAGTGCAGTGGCGTGATCTTGGCTTACTGCAACCTCTGCCTCCCAGGTTCAAGCGATTCTTGTGCCTCAGCCTCCTGAGTAACTGGGACTACAGGTGCCTGCCATCATGCCCGGCTAATTTTTTATACTTTTAGTAGACATGAGGTTTCACCGTGTTAGCCAGGCTGGTCTCAAACTCCTGACCTCAGGTGATCCACCTGCCTCGGCCTTCCAAAGTGCTGGGATTACAGGCGTGAGCCACCGCTCCCGGCCTAATAATTTTTTCTGTAGAGATGGGGTCAAGCCATTTGCCCAGGCTGGTCTCGAACCCCTGGGCTCAAGCTATCCTTTTGCCTCAGCCTCCCAAAGTGCTGGGATTAGAGGTGTGAGCTACCGCACCTGGCTGCAAGTCTTTAATTTTGCCAAAATCAAACTCGACTCCTTTTTAAAAATCGTTATTTTATTTTTGAAATGGAGTTTTGCTCTTTGGCCTAGGCTGGAGTGAATGGGGCATGATTTTGGTTCACTGCAACTTCTGCCCCCTGGGTTGTTCAAGTGATTCTGCTGCCTCAGCCTCCCAAGTAGCTTGGATTACAGGCACGCACCACCATGCCTGGCTAATTTTTGTATTTTTAGTAGAGACGGGGTTTCACCATGTTGGCCAGGCTAGTCTCAAACTCCTGACCTCAGGTGATCCACCTGCCTCGGCCTTCCAAAGTGCTGGGATTACAGGCGTGAGCCGCCGCACCCGGCATCCACTGCTTTTGAAGTTTTGGACAGAAAATTCTTCTTCCCCTTTGTCACATGGATATCCTGGCATCTTCTGTGAACTGGTTCGTTTTGCCTTTCATGACGTCTAGTACTTCTGGGGCCGGTTCAGCGTTGTGGGGTTAGTGGGGGTCCCTATTGTGTTTCCCCACACATTTTCCCAGCACCACTCTCACCACCTTCCCAGGTAAGGGGTGCCCCCGGCTGGGGCTGTGGCATCCCCACAGGTGTGAGGAACATCTTACCGCACGTGCTGCTGTGTCAGCCTCTTGGGAAATCAACCGTTTTGTTACTTTTTTTAAAAGAAGAGACAGCCCTTCCTGAATGGCATGGGAAGCCTCTCTTGGGTCCTGCGGGGCCTGACTGGGCATGGGTGGACAGGGCCAGCTGTGGGGGTGGACAGAAGGGGAGCGAGTGCCACAAAGACATGCTTGTCTGGAGACAGATGGGCCTTGTTGGTGGAGATATTTGCTTGTGGCTACTGGCAGCCCCATTGGCAGCTCAGGCCACCCACCCTGAGGTCTGAGGTTCAAAGCCCCGCCCTCCCTCCTCGCCCAGTGTGGACTCTCCCACACCCATAGCCAGACCCTTGGCAACCCGGGTCCCACCGGGGCCAGCACCAGCAGACCTTCCTTCTATCTGTGGACCTGCCTGATGGGGAGGTGGGTAGGGAGGCCGGGTAGGGGGTGAGTGGTTAAAGAGACGTTGGAACTAAGAGAGATTGCATGTTAACCCCGGCCCCTGCCCCAAACTCGGGCCTCGAGCAGGTGACCTGGTCTGTCTATGGGTCATTCTTATCTACGCCTGCCTCACGGGGCTGCCGCTGGGGTCTCCGGAGGCCACGGGCAGCACTCAAAACACCACAGACCCCCAACAGTGATGCCCTCAGGGCAGGAAGGGGGGTAATCGTCACCCCTGGGGCGGGTGGCCAGAGGGAACACAGAGAGCCAGCCCACCCGATGCCAGGTGACCCTGTACCCATCACCAGGCCAGTGGGGTCGGTGGTCCCATCTGCTCCTGAGGGGGGTCTCAAGAGGTGGCAGGAAGCCCCTTGGAAGAAACGGGCAATTTCCGGAAGCCCAGAGGTCTGAGCAGACAGCTGGGGCCAGGGTGCCTCGGACTCAGGGCTCCTGGGGTGGGAGCCTGCTTGGGGCCTAGGGCTGGGATTTGGGGGCTGGAGTCTGGGGTCTGGCTTCCTGGGGCCTCCTCAGCTGTCCAGCAGGCAGAGTGGGGCATAGCAGGTCGGGGGGGCTCTAAATGGGGCTGGGGGATGTGGGCAGGGAGGGGACTGCGGAAGCAGGTGTAGATCGGGGACCCTCAGGAGCTGAGCAGCCCAGCCTGGAGGCTGCATATGAAGCCCAGACCATCCTGGTGTAGGCAGGGCCCTGTTGCTGGGGGTGGTCGGGGAGTGGGCAGCCTCCCTCACTTCCAAGGCCCGGCATCCCGGGGCCCACAGAAGCCCCTTTAGGAGCAGATGTAGCCCCGGTGCCTATCCCAGTCCCGAGGTGGGGGCTCGGCAGGCAGCAGGAGCTGAGGGTTGCAGGGAGGAGGGCCAGCGCCCCCATCCCTCCCCTGTTCCTCTTGGGCCTGTCTCTCTCTCCGCAGGGTCCATCTGACAGGGTCTGGAGGCCTCTTCTGGGGGCCTGGAGGAGCCGTGGTGGCCATCAAGCCCAGGTCGTGGCTCAGAGGGCACCAGACACTCCCCGCTATCCCAACCGGACACTGTGGTTACGACTTGGCCTAGTGTGGCCTGAGTCAGGGCTTCTGTGGCCTGGTATCCAGGCCTGGCTGGGTGGTGGATCAGGCAAGGGACACACACCCCCCAGACCAGCCCCACAGTCGCCCCTGCCCAGGCCAAGACCCCAGGACTGCGTCCCCGGATGCTCCGCATCAGGGTTGGGTGCACGGCTGCTATGGGGACACATGGGTTATGGGTTGCCTCCTGCCACCAATCCAGGGTGAGGGCACCCCTGGCGGCCACCCACAGCAGCACATGGAGCGGCCGGCAGAGGGCACCAAAGGCCCCTCCAAGGGTGTGGCTCAGGTGGATGCCAGATGGGCTGTCAGGTGCCCCTCCCAGGCAGGGCGCTGAGTGTGGCCCGCTCCCCCTTCTCGGGAGCCTCCGTCAGCCTGGGCTAAGATCTCCAAATCCAGTTTCGGCCTTGCCCTCTGACTCATGCCCCTCCTAGGGCCTGCCGAACATCTGGCCAAGCTGGCTCTGTCCCCACCACTCCCACTAGGGTTGTGCCCAGTGAAAGCTGGGCTTGGGTGACAGGCTTTGGGCCTTTTGGTCACCGGGCCTGGGAGGGCCACAGGAAGAGAAGTGGGCAGGGTCCCCTCTGGGCTCAGGGGCTGAGCAGCCTGGCTGATGGCCCGCCCTCTGCCTGGCAGTGCTTAGAAAAGGTGCAGTTTTCAGGGACTCCAGGACCCACTCCCACTCCCAGGGAACTGAGACACACGGCTCCTGGGAGACTTAACTGGTTTAATTGTTTCGCCCTGGTGCCTGGGCCACCTCTTATCTCTTGGGTGAGACTCAAGTTCGGGCACCAAGACACAACAGCACCCCCAACACCATGCGGAGATCATTGGCCTGAAACTTGGCCAGAGAAAGCTCCACTCCTGGGCCTGTGAGGGTGGGCGCTGGGGGTGTCTGAAGCCTGCATGGTGTCCCCTGCATCCTCGGCCCTTGCAGGTGAAGCGTGTGTCATTCCCCCCCTTCCCCCCAATGGCAGCCACTGCCTCCTGCTGGAGCCCCTCCCAGGCCCCCCTCAGGGAGCAGAACCCTGCGTGTGTGCGGGGCTCAGCCCAGCCAGCCTGGAGCTCCAGCCCACCCTGGGGTGTGGATGGATGTAGAAGTGGGTGGGGATGGGGGAGCATCACGAGGGCCAGGACCCCCCAGGTGCACAGGGGAGGCCAGGGAAAGAGGCCCCAGCCCCAGGGAGTTCTGTGGCCTCAGGGGAAGGTGGACAAGGGGCTGGCACCACCAGGGGGCAGGTTTGGCTTAGACTGGTCTTGGTATGGGCTGGGGCCTTGGGTACTGCTGGTCCTAAGGATGGGCCTTGTGCCTCCAGACAGAGGCAGGGACCCCTAGCCAGCACCGCGCCCCCTCCGCGTCCTTGGTACAAAATACATACACATATAAAAATAATACTCCATGCACTGGGCGTGGGCTTCCCCTCCGCAGGCCCCCGCCCGCGGCAGCCAGGCCTAGCTGTCCTCCCCCCTTCTCTGATTCATGGAATGAAACTTGTTCATGAGTTCTTCCAGCTCCGACCCACTTTGCTGCTTCTAGGGAGAAATGGGGGCAGCCTCAGCCGAGGTTCCCACAGGTCCGGGTGCCGGCCTCCCCCTTGCTCTGCGACCCCAGGAACCGGCGGGGGCGGGAAGGGCGCAGGGGCAGGAGGGGCGGGGGGGGGCAGGAGGGGCGGGGGGGGCAGGAGGGGCGGGGCGCAGGAGCGCAGGCGGGCTCACCTCCAGGAAGGCCTTCTGCACGGTGAGCTGGCTGTACACGCGGACGCCCTCCTCCCCGCACACCTTCTTCAGCTCCTCCTTGTTGAGGGAGAAGAGCTGCGGCCCAGTCAGGATTCCCAGGTTCTCCACGATCCTGGGGGCAGGCGGGTGGGCGTCAGGGCCGCACCGTGGGCGAGGCTGCCTGGGCCCCGCCCCGACCGCTGCGCACCTTGGGCCGCGCCTCCCACCCCCCACCCGGATCCCTCGCTCATCCCCCGCTCACCGCGCGCTGAAGGCTTTGGCTTCCAGCCAGGCGCGGACCTCGTCGGGACCCGACTCGTAGGTGAGCGGCTGGCTCACCGGCTGGCTGCGCTCCACGCGGAAGTGCCGCTGTGGCTGCGCCCTGATGTTGCTGATTTTCCGGATGAGCTCGTCGTTGACCTCGTCCATGTGCTGCATGAGCTCTGAGGGGGGGCGCGACTCAGGCCCACCGCTGCCTTGCCCCTGCTCCCGCCCCCGGCCCAGGGACCTCCCCACCCTTCCTCCCCCAGGTGGCTCTGGACCCGGGACCTCCGCCTGGAAGCAGCAGCTCTCACCGTCTTTGTTCCCCGGGAAGCTTGGGGGCAACTTGTGGGTCGGGCTGGCGGGGCCCCAGTACTTCTGACCGACCTGCGGGGGCGGGAGGCGATCAGGCTCCCCACGCCCCGCCCCCGCCTCCCAGCACCTGCCCGGGACCCCACCCCTCCCCTGGCCTGCGGACCAGCCCTTCCCTTCTGCCCAGGGAGCCCTGCACCTGCCCCAGCCTCTCCAGCTGCGGGGCTGGCCTTGGGGCGGGGCTGGGCTCCGGCAGGGCTGCTCCAGGAGGCTCGGAGGCTGCGACCCCAGGGACCCCCGCGGGCTCACCTGCTCGAAGGGGGCGCCGGCGTCCTCGGGCTGCGCCTCGCCCAGGATGTTGCAGGGCACGTACCCCGCCTGGCCGCTGCGGCTGCGCAGCTTCCACCACTGCCGGCCGTCCTCCAGCACCTGTGGGGCGCACCGTCAGCCCCTCCCCACATCCAGGCTCTGCGGGGCTGGGACCACCCGCTGGTTCCGCTTTACAGAGGTCGGGGCGCGCCCTAGGGTCTCCCGGAGCCCCGCTTCGCTCCATCCTCTCCGCAGCCCTGTTTCCACCCCTCCATCCCTCGCTGGGCTACTCCTCCCCACCCTGCCTCAGGGAGTCTGGGAGACCCTTCCTTTTTCTCTGAGACAGGGTCTCACTCTGCTGCCCAGGCTGGAGTGCAGTGGTACAATCACTCCCCACTGCAGCCTCGACCTCCTGGGTTCAGGCGATCCTCCCACCTCAGCCTCCCGAGTAGCTGGCACCACAGACGCACACCACTGCATCCAGCTAATTTTTATATTTTTTGTAGAGATGGGGTTTCGAGGTGTTGCCCAGGTTTGTCTCAAATTCGTAGGCTAAAGGGATCCTCCCGCCTTGGCTTCCCAGTGCTGCAGTTACAGGCATGAACCGCCTAACCAGGCTGTGGATGTGGCCCACTCCCCCCAGCCTGCTCCACTTTCTGTCCCCCAGTGGGTGGCCTGGATTCCGGCTGGCAGATGCAGCCAGTGCAGACGTGGGGGCTCCTGGGTGGGTGTGAATGACAGGCCCCTGCTGGGTCCACATGGTGCAGACGCTCCCCCCAGCCTGGCACAGGGGTCCCTGCATGCCTTTGGAGATCCCCAAGATAGGGAGGCCCCTCCAACAGGCTGCAGATCCTGATCAGAGCCCAGGGGCTGGGACCCTGGAGAAAGGGGCAGGCAGCTGTGCCCCATCCTGGCATCACCCAGCCTGGTCCTAGACCGCTCCCCACCTCCCCTGATAGCCCCTCCCTTGAAACCCTGCCCCGTTTCCCCCTCTTGGACCCCCTCGTCCAGCCCCCTCACCTCTAGGACCTCATCCTTGAGCACTGATAGCTCGTTGGCGTTTCGGGCTGTAAAGTCGTACAGGATCTTGACGTACTTGGCCATGGCTGGTGTTGGCTGGTAGCCCCTGTGAGGAACAGGAGGGGCTGAGGCCCAGGCTGGTGGGGGTCTTCTCTGAGACCTGGGCAGCGGCTGGGGGTCAGCAGCTTCCCAGGTGCACGGCTGGCTGCCTCTTTTCTGCTCTGGAGGTCACCGTGGAGAGAGGCTGCAGGCAGCGTCAGCCGGGAATGGAAACTGTGACAGCCCCAGAGCTTTGGGGCCCTGCGTGGAGGTGGGGCAGGCAGGAGGTGGGCGTGGCGCAGGGGCCTGTGGCACAGCAAGGCTGGCCCATCCCAGGCCATCTCAGGGGTCTCTAGTCCAGCACCCCAGGGGAACCAGAGCCAGGGGCGTTCCTGGGAAATGCCAGGGTCACAGCTCCCCCCAGCTGGCCAATGAGGGCCAGCATGTCTTCAGAGCCACAGCTCCTCTGAGGACTGAACACAGCCCAAATGGTCCAGTGGAGGATGGGTCTCCAGCTCCTCTCTGTGGGGTGGGACCTGCACCTCAAAAGCGTGTGGGGGGCTGCCTCTGGCTGAGGGGTCCTGGCTTTGGCATGTAGCAGGCCTGTCTACCTGGCCAGGCCGTCCGTCCGGGCCAGTGTGGCCCTGGTCATCAGGGCAGCTCCTGTGTCCAGGCGCTCAGGGAAATGAAGGGGCCATGGACTGTCAGGACACAGCCAGGGTGGACAGACCAGGAACTGAAGTCAAAGGGTGAAATGTTTCTAAGTGCGGTCCTAGGCCAGGACTATGAGAGCCAGGCTGACATTGTGGGCAAGGGGAGGCCATGCTTGCTTAGAAGATGGATTTCTGGCCCCCCTTCCCCCCAAAATTGAATCCTGGGGTGTGGCAGGGTCAGGGGCTTCCCATACAGATCCTGGACCAGGAATGGGAACAGAAGGGAAGAGGGGAGGCAAGGAAAGACAGGACTCCCGGTAGTGCCGTGGGCTTGTTCTTTGTCCTCTGTGGAAACGGTCAGGGCTGGGGGTGGAGGGAGGGGAGGGGCTTTAGTAGCCCAGGACCCCAGTCTCCTCTTGTGGCTCTACCAGAGGTTGGGCCTGAAGCAGTCCCAACAGGGTGACAGTGTTTGGTGAAACCACTCAAGTTCAGTGGTTTAGTAAGTTTCTAACCTTGGTTCTAAAACATACATGTGGATGCACAGACAGAGCTGATATATTAGGGTAGAGAATGTGTGCATGACTTTCGAAATGTTTCCTTTAATTATATATCATACAGTTAAAACCGCTTCAAATCTGGAAAAGTGGTGTTTTAAACCGCTTGACCAATGCACTTGCTACCACTTGGTGGCAGCGTACCCATATGTTTTTCGAGCCTGTAGGTTCTGAAGGGTTTCACTTTCATGCTCCCTCACTTTGAGGGGGGCTTACCTGTGAGTATGTGGGGAGCTGACTGGTGGTAGGGCATCCCCCGTGGGGGTGGGCTCTGAAGCGGGGCTGTGCTTCTGGGAGTTTCGTACGGACTGTCGGCTCACTGGACTCACCTGTGGTGAAGGTGGGCAGCCTGAGCTAGACATGGGGCAGGGCTGGGTAAGGAGGGCAGGGGCAGGCTGGGTCCCAGGACAAGGGGGCATAAGACAGGGACTCGGCTAATGTGCTGTGACTGATACACCACTGAAGGTGACGGAGCCTGAAGCCTGGTGATGCCGGCATGGGCTGCCTCTCCTGGCGGGGCTGGGGGCAGCTGAGCTGCAGCTGAAGGGGTGGTGGGTGGAGGTGGGCTGGGGAGGGGAGCTCTGGGGAGGGGTGGGTGTCGGGGCTGGGGAGGGGAGCTCTGGGGAGGGGTGGGTGTCGGGGCTGGGGGGGGGGGGGGGGGGGGGGGGGGGGGGGGGGGGGGGGGGGGGGGGGGGGGGGGGGAGGGGAGCTCTGGGGAGGGGTGGGTGTCAGGGCTGGGGAGGGGAGCTCTGGGGAGGGGTGGGTGTGGGGTGGGGAGGAGAGCTCTGGGGAGGGGTGGGTGTCGGAGCTGGGGAGGGCTCTGGGGAGGGGTGGTGTTGGGGCTGGGGTGGGGATGGGGGCTGCTGGTGCTCTCACCTCAATGGGGGCAGACGCCAGCCCCTCCACCTCCCAGGGGGCCTCCTGCAGCACATCCACGGGGGGCTCCCAGCCACTGTGGAACTTGGGCACGTACAGGGGCACCTGCGGCTCCCGCGGCCACTCGGAGCTGGGGTGGGAGGTCCTGAAGTCAGCCCTGCCCCTCAAGAACTGGCCCACCCAGGACCCCAAAGCTGACCCCTGTGCAGTGCTGGCCCCCATGCAGCTCCGGCACCACTCCGCCCTGCCATACCGGGGCCGCATCCAGCTCTCTCCCAGCGACTCCCACAGCGACATCTCCTTAGGGACCAGGTGGCCACGCAGAAAGTCCACGGCATCTCGGGAGAGCAGTGGGCAGGAGACGGAGCGTGCGATGTCTGGGCCACCGCAGGTGTTGACGATCTGGAGCACAGCGAGGTTCAGAAGGGACTGAGGCCCACAGATCCCCGTCCAGCACCCCCGTGGCTGGCCCTCGGGAAGGGACTTTGGACCCCAGAGAGTGTGGCCACACAGCGTGAACCGGGCTGCCCAAAACGGGCACCTGCTGCCCCGACCCCGACCCCGGGGAGATAGATGCTCCAGAGGCCTCTGGGCTCCCACCCCGCACGCCCCTGCTGCCCGGCCCCAGGCACCAGGTCCAGAGGCCCGAAGAGGAAGTGCACGAGCTCCGCGGCGCTGGGGTTCTGGATGTGCTTCTGCAGCTTTGCCTGGGGGCAGGAACCAGTGAGCGGGGGCAGGAACCAGTGAGCAGGGGCCGGGGCGGGGCCTCCACCCACCCCTCACACAGACGCTGGGCCAGGGCTGGGGCCGCGGGACTCACCAGCAAGTTAATCGCCAGCTTGATTTTCTGGAAGCAGTCGACGAACTCGCCCTCAGAGGGGGGCCGTGCCCGCAGCGTGAGGACGCCCTCTGGCATGGGAGGCACCGTGTGAGCCGGGCTGGCCCTGGTCTCCCCAGCCCCTGTGCCTTGTGTCCCATGCAGCCCATCTGTGTGGGCCAGACCTTCCCCAGCTCCATGAGTGGCCCCGTCCCTGGCCCCGTCCCTGTCCCCTGCACCTGCTGGCCCCGTCCCTGGCCCCGTCCCTGGTCCCTGCACTTGCTGGCCCCATCCCTGGCCCCTGCACCTGCTGGCCCCTTCTTGCCCTTCTTCTTCCCCTTCTTCCGCTGGTTCAGCTGCTTGAAAGCCTCGGCCGCCTTCTGTAGCCGAGCCACAAACCACTCAATATCGTCCAGGGCGCAGTTGAGGATTTGCTGGGGTCAGAGGGGGTCAGGGGTCAGCCTCAGACACTCCCCGCTGCCCCGCCCTGCTGCAGGGATGGCCCCAAACCTGTGGAGGGGCAGCCACAGGCTGGGGACTGGCCGGAGGGGCGGCAGGGACCAGTGCCCACTGGTGGGGGCCTGGAAGGGAGGGGCCACCTGCCATGCCCAGGCACCCACCGTCTCCTTCTCTATCTTCTGAGCCAGCACAGCCCGCGGCTCCTCCTCCTGCGACTCCCGGCGGCGGAAACCTGATGGGGGACATGGCGGCTGCTCACCGAGCCCCTCACAACAAGCCCTGTGGAGCCCCCGCCAGCCCCTCAGCCTACCTGGCTCGCTGAGTGGCACCTGCGGGCCCACGCGATTCTTGGCCTGCGGGGAGTCCCCACTGCGGTGCTGGAAGGGGATGGGCGCCGGGCCCTGGGGAGGGGGCAGGATGGACTGCCGCTGCCGAATCTTCTCCTGGTGTCCCCTGGAGGGTCAGGGGGTCCTGCTCAGCCCCGACGGGAACACACCTGACTCTCCCTCCCTGCCCGGCTCCTCCCCTCTCCGCCCCGCTGTGACCCTGCTCTCCCTCTGCCCTACTTCAGGGTCTGCGGCCGCATCTTCTTGCCCAGCCGGCAGTCGGCCAACGCGCTCTCGATGTCCTCGTGCACCAGCTCTGCCTGGGAAAGCGGGCATCAGGTGGCCGGGAGGGCGGGGCACAACGCTGCGGAGCCCCGCCCTGCCCTGCCCGGTGCCGCCTCACCTCCACCTCGTCGCAGTGGAAGAAGTGGACGTCGGGCTTGCTCTGCTCCGAGTCCTGGCACACAAGCAGCAGCACGGACGGGTAGCGCAGCTGGTTCAGCACCGTCTGGCTGCGCTGCACGGTGGGCAGCGGGAAGTTTTCCAGCTCCTCCTGCGGGGACACGTCGCGCCAACACGACTCACACCGGCAGGAAGTGACCGGAGCTGTGAGCACCCATGAGGCACCGGCAGGGAGTGGCCGGAACTGTGTACACGCCTGGGGCACAAGCCCCTCCGGCGCCGCTGGGAAATGGGCTCCCAAAGATGAGAATGAGGCCCCGACACGCCCCGCTGCTGTGCAGCAAGGCTGACCCAGGCTTCCAAACTTCCCTGGACTCAGTTCCATGCGGCCCTCTCTGCCCACCCTCGTCCCATTCTCTTCCAGGGAGCAGAATGATGGGGCATGGCCGGCCCTGCAGAGAGGCCTGGCCGCACATGTGGGCTGCAGCCAGTGGCTGCCGCCGCCTCTACCCACCGTGCTCCCTGTCCCCACCGGCGCTGGGCCCCACCTGAGACTCGATGTCCAGCAGCCGCAGTGACTGGTCGTTCACCTGCAGGAGCATCTCCTGGGTCCAGATCTTCTCCTTGGAGCTCAGCTGCACCAGCTTCCGGATGGCGTCCTCCACAGACGTGATGGCTTCGCTCTTGTCCATGATGAATGTGGCCAGGTGCTGGGGGTGGGCGGGCGGTCACTGTTAGGCAGAGCCCTCCTTGTGCTGAAAGCCCAGCCCCCAAGGGCCACAGCCTGGGGGGCTAAGGGGCCACAGCCAACCCTGGGTAGGGTGGTAGGACGGGGGCCCGGCCCCGCCTTTGGTGGGGGGAGTCTCTATTCTGCCTTGGCAGGCATCTGTGGGGACCATGCTTGTGTCTTGACAATACCCTCAAAAGAATTCCAATTGCTGCCCGGCCCCGCGCCACCATCCTCACCTGCCCACCTCCTGGCACGGGCTCAGCACCCGCCCACTGCACTGGCTGCGCCAGCCTCCCCAGCTCTCTTCCTTCTCAGACGTCCCCTGTGTGGCCACCTGGCTACAATGCCAGCCGTCACCCCATCCCCGACTGCCCTGTTTCCTGAATCAGACCCGATGTCGCCCTGCACGTGGTGTGCTATGTGTCCGGTGTGCTCGCTACTCCCAGGCGGGGTTCCAGTTGCCACTTGCTAAGCTGTGTCCCCAGGTCCAGGGCAGAGCCTGGTGCACAGCGGACCCTCAACAAGTGCGTACGGGATGCACCCATCCCTGAGGATCTGCGGCCAGCCTGGCCCTTGCCCTGTGCCCTCCATCTCTCCTCTTTCCAGGCCTGGCTCAGGCCCCCTCCTCCAGCCAAGCTGCCCTGTTCGCTGAGTAAAACCCTTCTACGAAGGGTCGGCCATTCGGTGCACAATGCTGGCACAGCTGGATAAACACTAACGTGAACTACTATAGGACAGTCAAAGACAACCATAAAATGCAAACCATAAAAGTTTGCGTGGCCGGGTGCGGTGGATCACGTCTGTCATCCCAGCACTGTGGGAGGCTGAGGCGGGCGGATCACCTGAGGTCAGGAGTTCGAGATCAGCCTAGCCAACATGGTGAAACCCTGTCTCTACTAAAAATACAAAAATCAGCGCCGGGCGCGGTGGCTCAAGCCTGTAATCCCAGCACTTTGGGAGGCCGAGGCGGGTGGATCACGAGGTCAGGAGATCGAGACTATCCTGGCTAACATGGTGAAACCCCGTCTCTACTAAAAATACAAAAAACTAGCTGGGCGTGGTGGCGGGCGCCTGTAGTCCCAGCTACTTGGGAGGCTGAGGCGGGAGAATGGCGTGAACCCGGGAGGCGGAGCTTGCAGTGAGCTGAGATCACGCCACTGCACTCCAGCCTGGGAGACACAGCGAGACTCCATCTCAAAAAAAAAAAAAAAAAAAAAAAATTAGCTGGGCATTGTGGCAGGCACCTGTAATCCCAGCTACTCAGGAGGCTGAGGCGGGAGAATCACTTGAACCTGGGAGGCAGAGGTTACAGTGAGCCAAGATCGCACCACCACACTCCAGGCTGGGCAACAGAGCAAGACTGTCTCAAAAAAAAAAAAAAAAAAAACTTGGGCATGGTGGCTCACACCTGTAATCCCAGCACTTTGGGAGGCCGAGGCGGGTGGATCACAAGGTCAGGAGTTCGAGACCAGCCTGACCAACATGGTGAAACCCCCATCTCTACTAAAAATACAAAAATTAGCCCGGCGTGGTGGTGGGCACCTGTAACCGCAGCTACTCAGGAGTCTGAGGTAAGAGAATTGCTTGAACCTGGGAGATAGAGGTTGTAGTGAGCCGAGATCATGCCATTGCATTCCAGCCTGGATGACAGAGCAAGACTCTGTCTCAAAAAAAAAAAAAAAGAATAAGTGGGCAGAAACATGCGAGGGACTATGAGGCCGCTCATCTCTCTGTGAGAAGCAGAGTAGAACCTGAAACATACAATATAACCAAACAAGCAAAACCAGGCTGCTGGGCCACAGAGCAAGTCCCAGTAAATCTCAAGTGACTGCAACAGTACAGAATATGTTTTCTAACCATAACAGAATTAAGGTAGAAACCCGTAATAAAAAACCAGAAAATCCTTAAATGTTTAGAAATAAAGCGGCATATTTCTAAATAACCCATGCATCAAAGATGAAGTCACAAGAAAACTAGAAAGCATCCTTGTTGCGGAAAGTCAGGGATCCTGAGGTTTCCCCCGATACATTCCGAACTGAACATGCATATCACAATTTGTGGAATACAACTAAACCAGTGCTGCGAGGGGAATGTGGAGCTTTCCATGAATATATTAGAAAAGAAGAATGACTTAAAATCGATAATCTGGCCGGGCACGGTGGCTCATGCCTGTAATCCCAGCACTTTGGGAAGCCAAGGAGGGCGGATCACTTGAGTTCAGGAGTTTGAGACCAGCCTGGCCAACATGGCAAAAACTGTCTGTACTGAAAATACAAACATTAGCCAGGTGGGGTGCACGCCTGCAACCTCAGCTACTTGGGAGGCTGAGGCAGGAGAATCGCTTGAACCCAGGAGGCAGATGTTGCAGTGAGCTGAGATTGCGCCGGTGCACTTCAGCCTGGGTGACAGAGCGAGACTCCATCTCAGAAAAAAAAAAAAAAAAAAAAGATAAATAATCTAAGGTTTCACCTTAAGCAAGTAGAAAAAGTGAATCAACGCCGGACGTGGTGGCTTACTCCTGGAATCCCAGCTCTTTGGGGGGCCAAAGTGGGCGGATCACGAGGTTGGGAGATTGAGACCATCCTAACACGGTGAAACCCCGTCTCTACTAAAAATAAATAAATTAAAAAAAATTAGCCGGGCATGGTGACGGGCACCTTAAGTCCCAGCTACTCCGGAGGCTGAGGCAGGAGAATGGTGTGAACCTGGGAGGCAGAGCTTGCAGTGAGCCAAGATCGCGCCACTGCACTCCAACCTGGGCGACAGAGCGAGACTCTGTCTCAAAAAAAAAAAAAAAAAGAAAAAGTGAATCAAATAAAACCCACAGTAAGTGGAAGGTAGAAAATTAAGAGGAGGTCAGCGCACTTGTATACAGACGTCAGCATCAATAGAGACAAATCAACAGAGCCCAAAGTTAGTTACGAGAAGGTTAATAAAATTGGTAAATCCTTAGCAAGCCTGATCAAGAAAAATACTAGAGAAAACACAAATTCTCAGAAACCAGAACAAAAGAGGGGGCATCACTACAGATGTTTCAGGCAGGAGAAGGAATTAATAACCAAAACCTTCCCACAAAGAAAATCCTGCACTCTGAGGGCGGCACTGGCAAATCCTAACAAATATCTAAGGAAGAAACAATAACAAGCTTTCACAAACTCTTTTTTTTTTTTTTTCTTTTGAGACGGAGTCTCGCTCTGTCGCCCAGGCTGGACTACAGTGGCGCAATCTCGGTTCTCTACAAGCTCCACCTCCCGGGTTCACGCCATTCTCCTGCCTCAGCCTCCTGAGTAGCTGGGACTACAGGCGGCCGCCACCACGCCGGGCTAGCTTTTTGTATTTTTAGTAGAGACAGGGTTTCACCGTGTTGGCCAGGATGGTCTCGATCTCCTGACCTTGTGATCTGCCCGCCTCGGCCTCCCAAAGTGCTGGGATGACAGGCGTGAGCCACCGTGCCTGGCCCACAAACTCTGAAAACAGAAGAGGAGGGAATACTTGCCTGCCCATTTTACAAAACCAACATAACCCTACCACACAACCTGCCATCGGCATTGTAAGAAAATTACAGACCAGGACCTCTAATGGACATCAACACAAAACATTCCTAACCACACTATTACCACATCAACCTCAACACAGGAAAAAGGATCACACACTTGGAATAAATGACGACTAGGCTGGTTCAACATTCCAAACAATCAGTGTGGTCCAGTACATTGAGACTCCGTCGCAAAAAAAAAATAACAAGATAAAATAAAATGGATCCTGGCCCTAAACGCAAAAGCCTACACTGTGAAGCATCGAAAAGAAAACACAGGAACTGGCTGGGCGCGGCGGCTCACGCCTGTAATCCCAACACTTTGGGAGGCCGAGGTGGGTGGATCACCTGAGATCAGAAGATCCAGAACAACCTGGCTAACATGGTGAAACCCCGTCTCTACAAAAAATACAAAAAATGAGCCGGGCGTGGTGGCGGGTGCCTGTAATCCCAGATACTCAGGAGGCTGAGGCAGGAGAATTGCTTGAACCCAGGAGGTGGAGGTTGCAGTGAACCGAGATCGCACCACTGCACTCCAGCCTGTCCAGCCTGGGCGACACAGCAAAACTCTACCTCAAAAAAAAAAAAAAAAAAGAAAGAAAGAAAACACAGGAACTTCCACAATTAATTCCTAATTTACAAAAAATAAAAGAAAACACGGAAGAAATCTGCAGAAATTTGGTCAAGGGATGACTTCTAGTCACAGGATACCAAAAACCCTAAACCATAAAAGAAAAACACATACAAATGGACATCATCAAAATTGATTTCCACTTATCAAACCACAGTGATGGAGGCCGGACTCAGTGACTCAGGACGCAGTGACTCAGTCCATCATCCCAGCACTTTGGGAGGCAGGTGGATGACCTGAGGTCAGGTGTTGGGAACCAGCCTGGCCAACATGGTGAAAACAGGTGGATCACCTGAGGTCAGGTGTTGGAGACCAGCCTGGCCAACATGGTGAAACCCCATCTCTACCAAAAATACAAAAATTAGGCCGGGTGCGGTGGCTCACGCCTGTAATCCCACCACTTTGGGAGGCTGAGATGGGTGGATCACTTGAGGTCAGGAGTTCGAGACCAGCCTGGCCCACATGGTGAAACCCCGTCTCTACTAAAGATACAAAAAATTAGCTGGGCGTGGTGGCGCACGCCTGTAATCCCAGGTACTGGGGAGGCTGAGGCAGGAGAATCGCTTGAACCCTTGAGGCGGAGGTTGCAGTGAACCGAGATTGTGCCACTGCACTCCGGCCTAGGCGACAGGGTGAGACTCCACCTCGAAAAAAAAAAAAATTTAGCCAGGCGTGGTGATGCGTGCCTGTAGTCCCAGCTACTCGGGAAGCTGAGGCAGTAGAATGGTTTGAACCCCGGAGGCAGAGGTTGCAGTGAGCCCAGATCGCGCCATTGCACTCCAGCCTGGGGGACAAAGTAAGACTCCATCTTCAAAAAAAAAAGACAGTGATGCATATGCATTGACAAGCCACAGACTGGGAGAAGAGCTGGCCAGTCCACACACCCAAGTCTCTCTATAGAAAGCCCCCAGCCACCCGTAAGGACATGTCCTGTCCACTAGGGGCCCTGGGAGGATATGGCCACTAGGGAAGAAATGGCCACTAGGGGCCCTGGGGAAGATGCCGCGTAGCCCAGTCGGAGCCTTCCTCTACACTGTTTTCCTTTTCTTTTTTTTTATTTGAGACGGGGTCTTGCTCTGTTGCCCAGGCTGGAGTGTAGTGGTATGATCACAGCTTACTGTAGCCTCAACCTCCCAGGCTTAACCAATCCTCCTGCCTCAGCCTCCCGAGGAGTTGGGATGACAGACATGTGACCACCAGGCTAATTTTTAATTTTTTTTTGTAGAGACTGGGTCTCGCTGCCCAGGATGGTCTTGAATTCCAAGCCTCAAGTGATCGCTCGTCCCGCCTCTGCCTCCCAAAGTGCTGAGATTACAGGCAGAAGCTGCTGTGCCTGGCCCCAGGGTTTTCTTAAAATAAGTTTAGGAATCAGAACACAGACAGCTATAAACTATATTACTTCATTTATAGGATATTCTCAAAAAGACAAAACTGTGGTGATGAGGCCGGGTGCTGTGCTCACGCCTGTAATCCCAGCACTTTGGGAGGCGGAGGCGGGTGGATCACGAGGTCAGGAGTTCAAGACCAGCCTGACCAACATGGTGAAACTCCGTCTCCACTAAAATACGAGAATTAGCCAGGCACAGTGGCTCGTGCCTGTCATCCCAGCTACTCAGGAGGGTGAAGCAGGAGAATTGCTTGAACAATTCGGAGGTTTCGGTGAGCCGAGATCGCACCGCTGCCCTCCAGCCTGGGTGAAAGAGCGAGACTCCGTCTCAGACAAACACACAAACAAACAAAAACTGTGGTGATGAAGGGCCGGCAATGTTGCCAGAGGTTAGGGGTGGCCGCCAGTGTTGGGGATTCACAGGTTTGCAGTGACGGGGCCGATGGGTCTGACTGTGGTGGTAACAGAACCACACCCCTCCATACACATGGCTTTTACTGTGTGATAATTTAGAAAAAAGCAAACCACGGACCCAGGCTCAGGTGGCCCCCACCTGGCTGGAGAGATTTCCCACTAGACTCTCACCCTCTCTCTGGGCCCCAGTGTCCTCATCAGGGAGGGGCAGGAAAACCCCACCCACCATTCCGCTCCTCACTCTGTTGGCCCCTGGGCAGATGGGAAAGGCTCCTGCTGGCTGGGGGCCGGGCCAGGCCAGCTGGGGCCAAAGTCCAGGAGCCAGGCTGAGAGGCTCCAGGATCCTCCTCAAGAGGGCAGAGTCCTGTAGGCTTAGAGCACAACCGGGAGCCCGGCTCGTACCCAGGCTTGGACCACAGCCGGGAGCCCGGCTCGTACCCAGGCTTGGACCACAGCCGGGAGCCCGGCTCGTACCCAGGCACAGGGGCCTTTTCTTTTTCTGGGTTTTGTTTTTTTTTTTTGAGACGGAGTCTTGCCCTGTCCCCCAGGCTGGAGTGCAGTTGCATGATCTCGGCTCACTGCAACCTCCACCTCCCGGGTTCTAGTTCCAGTGATTCTCCTGGCTCAGCCTCCCAAGTAGCTGGGACTACAGGCTCCCGCCACCACGTCTGGCTAATTTTTGTGTTTTTAGTAGAGATGGGGTTTCACCATGTTGGTCAGGCTGGTCTTGAACTCCTGACATCAGGTGATCCACCTGCCTTGGCCTCCCAAAGTGCTGGGATTACAGGTATGAGCCACCGTGCCCAGCCCCTTTTCTTTCTTTCTTTCTTTTTTTCTTTTTTGAGACAGAGTCTCGCTGTGTCACCCATGCTGGAGTGCAGTGGCATGATCTCGGCTCACTGCAACCTCCACCTCCCAGGTTCAAGCGATTCTCCTGCCTCAGCCTCCCGAGTAGCTGGGATTACAGGTGTGCACCATGATGCCTGGCTAATTTTGTATTTTCAGTAGAGATGGGGTTTTGCCATGTTGGCCAGGCTGGTCTGAAACTCTTAACCTCAGGTGATCCAGCCTCCCAAAGTGCTGGGATTACAGGCGTGAGCCACCGCGCCTGGCCTAAGACTTTGTTGCCCAGGCTGCTGGAGGGCTGCGGTGGGATCCTAGCTTGAACTCCTGGGCTCAAGCGATCCTCCTGCCTCAGCTTCCCAAGCAGCTGGACTACAAGCTCACGCTACCAGGCCTGGCTAGGAGGTGGGAAGATTGCTTGAGCCCAGGAGTCTGAGACCAGCCTGGGCAACATAGGGATCCTGTCCCCACAAAAAACAAAATAACTAGACAGACATGGTGGTGCCCGCCTGTAGGCCCAGCTACTGGGGAGGCTGAGGCAAGGGGGTCACGAGCCCGGGAGGCGGAGACTGTAGAGAGCCAAGATCGCGCCACTGCACTCCAGCCTGGGCACCTGGGTGACAGAGCTAGACTCTGTCTCAAAACAAATGAGAGAGAGAGAGAGAGAGAGGAAGAAAGACACACATACACACACACACACACCCACCCACCAAAAAAAAAAACATGTTTCCTGAGTTCTCTGTGTCAATGAAACTGACCTAGGAAAACAGAAAAGCCCTCAGGGCGGGCTGCTGGTCCTGCGGGCGCAGGCAGCCCAGTCTGGGCCCTGAGAAGCAGCCTGGGTCTCCCTGCAGCCTCCATCAAGGGCGTCTTTGTTCTGCCTGCTCCCTCCCGATCCAGTTCCTTGTTTTGGGGCCAGGATGATCATTTCCTCCACGGGCTCTTCCCATCCACGGCTGTGCAGCAGCCACAGTGTTTCCCAGCACACCCTGGGCCGCCTCACCCCTCAGACCGCCAGTTCCCAGGACTGGAACCAGAGGGACGCTTTCCCCCACCCCGTGGCTGAGCCCGGCACAGTGTGGGCAGTTCTGGCTCTGGCCTCCCCCAGCCCCTGCGGGTGTCGGAACATGGGCTGACCACTCTCCCTGGAGCTCTCTCTCTTTCTCTCTTTCTTTCGTTTGTTTTGAGACAGGGTCTAGCTCTGTCACCCAGGTGCCCAGGCTGGAGTGCAGTGGCGCGATTCTTGGCTCACTACAGCCTCTGCCTCCTGGGCTCGTGACCCCCTTGCCTCAGCCTCCCCAGCAGCTGGGCCTACAGGCGGGCACCACCATGCCTGTCTAATTTTTTTTGTGGAGACGGGAGCATGAGGACAGCCATGTCCTGGGGGTGCTCCCTGGGGGCAGGGCCTTACCTGGGGGCGGGGCCTTACCTGGACGTGGTACTGCGAAGTCTCGTGCATGATGACGTTGGAGTTGGAATACTTCTTCCTCTGCTCTGAACGGGGAGACACCAGTCACTCACCCCCACGGGCGGGACCCACAGCCCTCCGTCCAGTTGGGACTGGACCCACAAGGGAAGGTGGAGTCAAGCGGAGGGGGGGCTGCTCCGTGGACCTCTTGGCCACCAGGAAGGATGTGGGTGTGAAATCAGGACCTGCAGGAAGCCCCCTCCCTCCCTCCAGGGAAGCCCCCTTGGAGAAGGATGCAGCTCGGAGAAGGCGACGGGCTTGCTCAGAGTGGGGACTGGGGAGCCTGTGCCGGGGGGCTTCCTGTCCCAGAGGGTGAGGGGACAGGAGGGGGGTCGCAGCCATGCTTGTTCCCACTCTGAGAGCTGCCAGCTTCACCCTCCCTGCCCTCCCAGGGCTTCTTGCTTTCCAGACGAGGCACCTCGTCCAAAGTCACAAGGGAAGGGGGCGTCTAGCTAGGGAGAGGGTGGGGTCGTGTCTGGGGAAGGGCAGAGTGGGGGAAAGTGGGGGCTGGCCAGGCCCCCCTCCCGGAGCAGACAGCTGGCGGCTCATCCTGCCTGAACCCCCCTGTGATCAGGTTGCAGCAAGGAGTGCAGTGGAATCAATATTGATGCTCCCTGAATTATTAGTAAAGGCCTCTCCCCTTACAGCTGTGGGGGAGGGGATCCAGCGGCCAGGAGCTTTCAGAAGGTTGATGAGGGTCCAGAGGGATCCCCTGGGCCAGGCCAGGCACAGCTGTGGGGCAGGGGCGGCTGTCCCTGGCCTGGACGCAGTGCCCATTTCTCCCCTGTGACGTCTAGCACGTTCTCAAACCTCACTCACCAAACAGGTCCTTGGGGCTCATCCTGGCCACACTGTCGGACCGGCCCAGGCTGCCGCTGTAGGGGAGGGGCTGTGAGGGCAGGGCCGAACTGCACCCCTCCCCAGGGACTACTCAGAGGGTGAGGGTGGGGTATTCGGGATGGGCGGGGGGGCTCACTTGGTGGCACCCGGGCAGCAGCTCACAGCCCCGGACTGGCTCATGGTGTCCTGGGCAGCGGCCAGCAGAAGGGCAGACCTCAGTGTGGCCCAGGTCTGAGGCCAGTGCCTGTCTCAAACCTGGGTGGACAGAGGGGCTGTGCTGACAGTTCCTCCCGGCCTGGCTGGCGTCTCCCCTCCTTCCCTGGGCCAGAGCCCTGACTGGCCTGGCCTGGGTAGGGGTCTCTTGGGGGGCAGAACCCCTGCCCCACATCCCAGACGGCCCCACGTCCCAGTTGGCAGTCGTTCAGCCTCATCATGCCCCAGACCCTAGGCGCTCCACAGGGACCCCCAGAGGCTGCCTGGAAGGCTCTGTTGAGGGTCCTGGGGGGAGAAGGCACTTTCCAAGCCAGGCAGCATTGAGTTCAAGGCCCTGGTGCTGGGGGGAGAGGGGACGGGGTGGGGAGGGGGAGGGGAACATGCTGTGGGTGTTGGGGGAGCGGGTGGGGAGAGGGGGTGGGAGTGTAGTGGGGGGGTGGGGAGGGGGATGGGAATGTGTGGTAGGGGGTGTGGAGGGGGGCAGGAGTGTGTGATGGGGGTGGGGAGGGGGTGCGGTGGGGGTTGGGGGAGGGTGGGTGGGAGCTGCAGGATGGCAGGAGAGGTGAGGCTGGAGCTGGGAGTGGGGGTGGATCCTGAAGTCCAGAGGGAGCCCGGCTGTAGCTGCCACTCCTGCCCCACCCCAGGCCTGCACCCCAAGGGGCTCCTGCACATGCATGTGGACTTGCCACCCACGCATGCCACCTCTGTCCAGGCCCCAGCAAAGAGGCCAGCTCTTGGTTCTTTCCTGGGCCTGGGAGGCCTGGCTGGGAACAGTCTGTGCGGGCAGGAAACCCTGGGGTTCCCGGGGTGTGGCATTTCCTCACCCCGAGGGCAGGGATGTGGCCCCGCGGCCAGCATAGGACCCTTGGCAGCCCAGCCCAGGGGAGGGACTGGAGGGCGGGTGAGACCGGGAGCCAGTCCAGTGGCCCCAACACACAGTATCACTGCCCCTCCGACGAGGTAGGGCGGCTATGGGGTAGGCAGCTGGCGCCTCTGGCCTCCCCAGGGGCAGAATCCCCAGAGCCTGTCTCTGGGCTCCCAGCGCTGCCCTCTTCCCCGATGCATTTTGGGGAAACTAAGTCCCAGCTGCCAGGGCAGGCAGGTGGGTCTGATTTGGGCTGGGCCCTGGGGCCTTCCCAGGGGGATGGGCAGAGCCTGATGGCCTTGAACCAGACTGACTTGCCCCAAGGGGACTATGCCCTGTGGGAACCTGGCTGTTCTGTGGCTCTGTGACCAGCTCCCCACAGGTCCACACCATCCGCCTCCTGCCAGGGCCACAGGGCCGTCCCCTGTGGCTTCAGAGTTTGGGTCTGCCAGGGTGGGGGTCACCGGCCAGCGTTGCTGGTATGGAGGGTCAAGGGAGTGGCCCGCAGCACCTGGGACTTTCTGGTTTCACCAGGTCTGGCCTAGAGGGAGGGTCTGGGAGGCCCGGGGGCACTGCCTCTGCCATGAGGGGCTGGGTGCACCAAGGGGGCGTGGCCACTTCCTCTGTCTCTCCGTGGAGAATGTCTGGAATGTTCACGGGCTCAGTGGCAAGCCTGAGTGTTTGCTTAATGGGATTCCTGGCGGGGTTCACCAAGGGCGCCAGGCACGTGTGTCCAGGCACACACCTGGGCAAGACACCAATGCGCCCTCGAACCCAGGCCTGCAGGCACACAAACACAGAGGGCTGTGACACACGACCCCCTGGGGAAGGCTAGGTTCCCGTCCTTCGTCCTTTGGTTGCCTGCAGGGTATGGGGGGGACCTCAGGCCCAGGCAGGGCCGGGCTGCAGTGGGGTGGGTCCAGGTGTGGTGTCTGGGTCTGAAGCACCTGGGTATGGGGCTGCCTCCTGACCCGTGGGAGCCCCGCCCCCCTGGGGAAGCTTCTTTGGCCCACTGGGGGTGGGGTCCAAGCCCTGGAGGCCCAGGCTGCACTTTGTACTGTGGTCATTTTCCCGGTGTGAAGTGGGGCAGAGCGGGGTGCCTTGTCAGTCAGGCTGTGGAGGGGAGGAGGTCCCAGCAGGGCAAGAGGGTAGAGAGACAGGCTCCAAGTTCAAATTCCAGCTCCACATGCTGAGTGACCTTGGGTAGGGGTCAGCTGAGTCATGGGGGCTCCAGGCTGCCCTCATGGGAGCCGGGTGGGGCCCTGGAATGGGGGTGCCCCTCAGGCCCTGGCCGTGTCCTGGTTTGGAAGCTACGTCTTGAAGGAGAAAGGGATAAGCTGGGGAAGCTGAGGGTAGGGAAGGAGACCCAAGCAGGCAGAGGAGGCCCCGTGGGAGCGCTGTGCCAACAAGGCCTGGGTGCTAAGCAGGCCCAGGAGAGGCTGGGACCAAGGAGGGGCAGCAAGGGGAGGAGGGGCCGCGAGGGGAGGGGCCGTCAGCAGCTGGGCCTGCCTCCCCAGGACTGGGCACGGGGTGGGTGGGGACAGAGGTCCAGGCATGCCCGGCCCTGCCTCCCCCTCCCCTGCCACCAGGGACACCCCACAGCAAGGGGCAACGCCAGGCAGCTGGACCCAGGGACCAGGAATCTAGGATGGCCGAAGTTCGCCTGCCCACAGGCTCCTGCCAGCCCACCCTACTGCCTCACCTGGCAGGGCCTCTGCAGCCCCCGTCCCAGCCTCCCCTACCCCCTGAAACTCCCACCCCCGACCCTGACCTGGAGACTGACCCAGCTGGTGCTTCCCAGGCCACTGGCTTCCTTCTGGGCTCCGACACCCAGGAAGTGCCTCTTGGCTCCGGCCCACAGAGAGTGGGCGTGCGGTGCTCACCTCGGGAAGGTCCTGCGGCCCACAGAAGCGGGAGAAGCCTCCGTACCACCTGCGCTCTCCGGACGCAGGGATTGCCCCCACCAAGCCCCAGAGCTGGGAAGGGGCAGGACGGGGCGGGTGAGTCACCCATCGCTGGCTTAAAAATATCCTTGCTTGCCAGCCGCCGCCCAGGACCGACGTGGGCAGGCCGGGCTGCAGCAGGACCCGTCCAGGAGAGGCGGGGGCCCGGCCAGGACCCCAGCCCCCTGCCCCGCGTCCCCGGCCCAGCCGCCCTCCAAGTGCTCCGCGCCCTGCGACGCCACGCCTGGCCCGGTATCCGGAACCAGAAGCCCCGCGTCCCATCACCACTGGGGAAACTGAGGCCCGGGGGTGCGCGCTCCCCCGCGTCAGCTGCGCTCACCTGCTCCGGGCGCCCTGCGCTCGGCCTGTCCCCTCGGCGCTCACCCGTGCGTCCGTCTGTTCGCGCCTCGGCCGCGGCGCCCGGTCTCCCGCGGGCGGCTGGGACGCTCGGCGGGGCCGGGCCGGGGCGGGGCTGGGAGAGGAGAAACCTGAGCGACAGGTTGCGGAGTCACCAGAGAGCGAGCGGGCGGGCGCGCGGGGGAGGAGGGCGTGGGATGGAGGCGCCCCCGCCGGTCTCGGACCCAGCTCCGCCCCGCCCCGCCCCCGCCCCCGCCCCGCCTGGGCTCTAGCCCCAGCCCTCTCCGCCCTCCCCAACACCCACCTGGAGCTGGGGCGCTGGGGAGAGGCGGGGCGCAGGGCCGCCTCCGCGGGATAAGCAGGACAGGGCCTAGCTGCGCCCCAGCAGGCCGGGGGGCACGGGGGGACGCTGCCAATGGGACTTCGGGGGCAGCGCTGGCGTGATGCTGGGAGGGCTCCAGCCCTAGGGAGGTCAGAGCCTTGGCCGAGCCAGGTGCGCCCCTCAGGTGCGCCCCTCAGGTGCGCCAGGCGTGGGGCAGAGTCGCTTTCCTTAGCGGGCCCGCCCCAGGTCTGGGGAAGCTGGGGTAGAGGCTTCGGTGAGCGGGTGGGTGTCAGGCAGGACCCAACCATGCCACAGACCTAGGCTTGGGGCTCTGAGCTCCCGGAGTGGGATGGGGCCTCCCTTCCTTACAGTGCAGGGGCTCCTCCAAGGCCCCTTTTCTGCCCAGCCTGGGCACTGAGAGATTGGGTGTCGGGGGCGGTGGGGACACCCGAGGCCCTCTCAGGATGCCTCTTCTTGCACTGCCCCGTGGCCAGGCCCCACCCTCTGCCCACCACAGGGGGACTGTCTGGTTCTGTTCTCATCTACCTGGCTCCCAGGATGGCCCTTCTGCCCAGCTGCTCTGACCGCTCAGAACAGGCCAGGGTGCAGCGGACACAGTGGGTAGCACCGGCTGCCACAGCAGTAAACTGGACAAGGAGGAAGTGAAGGGGCACAAGGCACCCCAGGCGCATGCAGGGACCCAAGGCTCCGGCTGCCGTCCTGGGTAGGGGTGGGAATGAGGGGGTGGGAATGAGTGTGGCCAAGAGTCTGGGTCCCCGGTCCCCAGTCCCAGAGGGGCAGGGCTAGCGTGTTTACCCTGCTCTGGCCAGAGCACTTCCTGGGGAGGTGCCACAGGTGAGCTCGGCAGAGGGGTGGCAGGAAGTGGCCCTCCTCCTTCGGGCCCAGTGCCTGCCCCTGAGCCCGGGCAAGGCCTGGCTTCCTGGTTTACGGCCTTTGCAGTTTGATCCTGCAGTTTGCATGCCAAGATCCTGCTCCACGCATGAGCTTGCCCTGACCCAGAGCTCAGGGGTCACACACACCAAACCCACGGTGCACCCTTGCCCTCACCCTCCCTGGAGGCAGAGCTGGGAGTGGCCAAGTGGGAAACAGGCGCTGGAGGGCACAGGCGAGGTGGGGGCGTCCCTCTCCACTCCTGAATGGGTGCCTGTCAACACGATTGTGAGTGCAGAGCCTGCCCTCAGGAGACGGTACAGGCTGGTCTCTCAGGCCCCATCCACTCCGGACCACCTGGAGCCATGCGTTCCCTGTGGAGCAGGTGACCACTGCCTGTGTGCCCACTGAGACTGGAGGTGTCAGGATCCATTAACCATGAAGGCAACAGGTCTCTAGCCTTGGGGAGGAGGCCCTTCCCTGGTCTGCATGGTTCATGGGCTGAGTCCTTCAGATGGCAGGCATGCCCAGCCAGTCCTCTGCCAGTGCAGGCGCTGGTGAGGGAGGGGGCCCAAGGCGCTCAGGCGCTGGCGTGTGTGGTTCTGCTGCAAGGGCGCAGGGGTGGGAAGCGGGTCCTGAGGGCTGTCCTGCAGGTCAGCCTGCAGGTCCTCACCGTGGCCTCTGGGGGCGATAGGCAGGTCAAAGCAAGTCCGCCCAGGACAACTGGGTGCTCCTATCGCTTCCACGAAGACAGGCAGGAAAGTCTGTCCGGGTGCCATAGCCACCCCAGCTGAGGGAGCCCCAGTGGAGGCCCAGGACAGCCCCGCAGCCTCCTGCCCTCAGGAGTCCACCGAACGGAAGGCGCCCAGCAGCCAGGGCCCGAGGGCGAGGCCAGCCAGGAATTGACCAGCTGGCAAGCAGGGTGTGCTCTCTTTAAGGGTGGGAGAACTGGCAATGGGGTGGGGGAGGTGGCCATAATTAGGAGAATTCAAGGAGACATACACATCTCTTTTATTTACAAAATGCAGTGAAGAGAAAATATCTAGGTATTAGGATGTGATTATTCCAAACATAGAGAACACACAATAGAACCAAATGAAGGGAAAGCTACTATAACAGCTTAGATACTTTTTAAGGAGAACTTACAGTAAATCTGGGAATGGGAAAAAAATCACAGAGCTAGAATTTGTTTAGCACTCAGTGCAAAAGGCAAAAGTTGCTAAAACTGGAGTGGACGGAGGCTCAGAATGTGGGCCCCGCAGCTGCTCTCTCTCCTGCAGTTCCATCCCCAGCCTCAGCCCTGACCTCTCCTCCGAAGCCCCTAAAGGGAGGAGTGTGGCTGAGATGGAAATTCTCAAGCACCAGAGCTGTTGGCTTGTTTGCATTTATTGCTTTAGGAACCCAGAGTGCACTCTTGCCCCCGGGGCCTGCCTGCCTGTGAGGCAGAGCTGGGGGCACTCAAAGCACAAGGCCTACCCCATCCTGCTTCTCCAGCCGGACTTGGAAACACAGGTGGGGCCTGGCCACAGAGTAAACTGGGCTCTCAGAGCACAAATTAGGACCATCAGGGAACTAGGGGGTGATGGGGGAGGCGGTGAGACGAGGCCTCTGTTCTGAAGGGCTCTGTCCTCCCTCTCAGCCCTGGGGGCCCATGGGGGTCCATGGAGGCCTGGCTGCTGCAGCCAGACCCCACTGACAGGGCTGAGTGTGCGCTCCCGGGACTCACCTTGAAGGCAGTTCTGTGTGGTCCCTACCCTCCCTGCAGCTGTTCCCAACACCAGGGCCTCCAGCAGTTTGTTCTGCTCTGGCTCCTGCTCCCACCCCTGCCAGGACAGATGAGGCCGTCCGAAACCATCTATGGCCAGTCGCTAGGAAAAGTGCCCTTCCTGTCCAGGAATGGGAGTGACAGCTGGGGGACTGGTCGGGCCCAGGAGGAGGGCCCCAGTGTGGGGTGTTCTGGGTGCCCGCAGCTACCTGGTGAAGGCTGCAATGGCAACCACCTGCAGGACGGCCTCCAGGCCGTGAAGGGCCAGGAGTGTGGCACTGAGGGCCCAGTCTGCCCACAACACCAGGGTCTGCCAAAGCAGGAAGTAGGCAGAGAGGAGGGCGGTGCCGGCCGTGAGGGCCAGGCTGGCGGCCAGCGGCCTCTCAGCCTCTGTCAGGTTGCCCCTGGTACCTGGAGAACAGAGCAAAAGGGGGAGTGAAGGTGGCGCAGGGTGATCCCCAGAGCCCACTGCCCGCAGGTACCTGGCAGGCTGCTGGGACCAGAGCAGATCCTTGCCCTACGTTCCTCAGGGGCCTGGGGAATTCCAGGGAAACAGCCCCCATGGCCACCCAGAACTCAGGAGAGCCAGAGAGCATGTGCAGCATGGGCGTGAGCCCCTCCTGGGGCAAGTGCCCCTGCAAAACCAGTGGGATCTGTCTCTGGGTCTTCTGGGTTGGCTGTGTGGGCGAGGGTGAATTTGGTTTCTAAAATGATTCAACTGCATCTGCCACCCTTTCCTAATTCCAAGTGGAACTGAAGGGATTTTTTTGAAAAATTCCCAAAATATTTTTCTCTGGTCCAAGGCCAGTTCTGGAAAATTTCATGGATATGTATTAAAAACAAAACTGCGTATTTAGCAAACAAATGAGTCAGGCACTAGCTGAGCCGAGGTGCCTGGAGACCCTGCAGTGTGCGGCACGCTTGGGGAGGGTCCCGGTTGGCCTAGCAGCCCCCAGCAGGGCCAGACCACACCCTGTCCCCACCACCTTGGGGCAGGCCCGAGCCCCTGAAGATCCGGCCAAGAACCGGGCCTCCGTGCAGCAGTGGCGCTCGCACCCTCCCAGCAGTGCCCACTCTGGGGGGCAAGCTGTAGAGGCTCCAGGACCATCTGTAAGTGCAGACAAGACACTGACGGCCGGGCACCCCTCAGTGGAATGGGCAACTGACAGAACTCGCCTCCATCCTCCTAGTGTGTCTGAGGCCTGGTAACAAGAGGAACAGTGGGGGCCACCCTTCTCTGCAGCCTCGGTTCCTCACTGGACATCGAGCATCGGGGTATATCTGTGTGTCAACAAGAGGGGTCCAAGATTCCAGCCTGGCAGGCGCAAAGTGCCCTGGAAGTGCCCACTGCGTTCCCCACGGCAGGGCAATGTTTCACAAACACATGTGTTTAGGTGCACGTGTTATGACCATGAGCATGCAGAGGGCTGGAAGCCTGCACCCCACTGGCCACAGAAGTGAGCTCTGGGGAGGGCAAATTTCCATGTTTTACTTCTGCACCCCTTGAATCTTGTACAAGAATATATCCTTGAACAAACTGTGTGGTTAAAAAAAGGGGAGTGAGGTCAGGCACTTTGGAAGGCCAACGTGGGCAGACTGCTTGAGCCCAGGAGTTCAAGACCAGCCAGGGCAACACAGTGAAACCTTGTTTCCAGCCGGGCATGGTGGCTCACACCTGTATAATCCCAGCACTTTGGGAGGCTGAGGCGGGCAGACCACGAGGTCAGGAGATCGACACCATCCTGGCTAACATGGTGAAACCCTGTCTCTACTACACATACAAAAAATTAGCCGGGCGTAGTGGCGGGCGCCTGTAGTCCCAGCTACTCGGGAGGCTGAGGCAGGAGACTTCTGTGAACCTGGGAGGTGGAGCTTGCAGTGAGCCGAGTTCGCGTCACCGCACTCTAGCCTGGGTGACAGAGTGAGACTCCAACTCAAAAAAAAAATTAGCCAGGTGTGGTGGCGGGCGCCTATAGTCCCAGCTACTTGGGAAGAGGGGGAGGGCTGAGGCAGGGGGATTGCTCGAGCCCAGGAGGTCAAGGATGAAGTGAGCTGTGATTGCACCACTGCACTCCAGCCTGGGCAACTGAGTGAGACCTCTCAAAAA